GGTTGGGGAAGCAGCACAGTTCAAATAAAGTGAAGAACAAAAAGGGTTCAAATGCCTCAGTGATGCTAATATTTGAACGTCTGAAGCTAATTTCTGGACTAATAGTGGCTGAGGGCTCAGACAGACCCTCAACGAGCCTGGAGAGAGACACAGCAACTGTGCCAGCACTCAAATCATAAGACAAAAGACAGGAGGGAATTCCCTGGCAGTCCAGTAGTTAGGACTCCGTGCTTTCACTGCCGAGGGCGCAAGGTTCAATCCCTGGTCGGGGAATTAAGATCCCGCAAGCCACGTGGCACAGCTAAAAACAAAAACAAAACAAAACAAAACAAAAACAAAGGACAGGAATGAAATATTTTGCCTTATCACTTAGTGGTGGTGTTTTTCTGCCCTGATTAAGGACTCAGTTACCAAAAACAGCCCGTGAGCATCCTCCAAGCATCTGTCCCCTCTGGGCCGTGGGAGGGAGGTGGCAGCCCGGAGGACAGAGGTGCGTCCCAACAGGCCCCTTGTTGTACCCCCTTTGCACACTGTTCTCCATTCTCCACCAGTAAAACGGGGGTAATTATGTTCCCTCTCCCTGGCTGACAGAGGGACGATCCCTGAAAGAGTATATGCACCACACTTGAACCCATGTGGCCCAGGTGATTTTAGGCTGAAGGGAGGGTGACCAGGACAGTCTCATGGATCCTTCCCTATAGACCCAGGCTCGAGAGAAACTGGTTTCACTAAAAATACCTAAATCGATATCGCCAGGAGCGGAACGGGCAACAGAGCTGAAGCCAAAGACCAGCAGGCCAAGTGGCTGGTGTCCCACCACGACCAGGGGATAGGGGCTCCAGCCCAGGAGGCCAAGCCAGCCTGATCCAGCAGAGGTGAGAATCTGACGGAGTCTCCCCGAGCAGGAGAGGGCACGGAGCACGGGTCAGAGACAGGGCAGGAGCCCGCTGCCTGGGTTTAACTCCAGCTCCACGGGGACTTGCTCTGGGACCCCGGGCAGGTAACTAAGTCTTGATTTCCTTTTCTTAGCAATCATAGGAGCGGAACCAGGCTTAGACCCAGACACGAGGGGCCCCTGCCCTGGCCCTTCCTGGCCTCTTCTGGTCATCAAACTCTCCACAGGGTAAGGGGCCTGCAGGGGCAGAAAGACTTGAGGTTGAAAAAGGATCAAAAGCAAGAAGCAAACACAGGGGATTGGCGGGGGGGCAGTGAAACCACTCTGTATGATACGTGTCATCATACATTTGTCAAAACCCACAGAGTATCTGACACCAAGAGTGAAATTAATGTAAATTACGGACATTGGGTCAATGTAAGTTCAGCGACTGTAAGAAATGTATCACTCTGGTGGAGATGGTGATGGTGGCGGAGGCTCAGTGTACGTGGGGTCAGGGGGTATATGGGAAATCTCTGTACCTTCAGTTCAGTTCTGCTGTGAATCCAAAACTACTCTAAAAAAATAAAGTCTATTAATTGAGAGAGAGAGAGACAGGAACAGCAAGGGTAGGAAAGGAGCAAGGAGGAAATGGCCAAGTCATGGTAGCAGAGGAGAAGGACAGGGAACATCTGTGAACTTTTGCTGGGGGCCCTAAATTCTGAACAGCCTTTACCTTCTTGTCTCTGTGTGGCCTGACCCCCTCACGTTCCCCTGGGCTCCAGTGAACAGGAATCCTTACCCTAGGCAGCCTCGTTCATCCCATCCTTTACTTGAGCAGGCTTGAGAGTGTTTCCTGCCAAAACAGAGCTGAATACACTGTCCCTGGGCCCTGCCTTCTCCCGGGGTCAGCCAGGGACCCACAGCCCTAGTTGCTGCGTCTGGGCATCTGGGCTGCTTTCTAAAGATATCAATATTTATGATATGACGAATCTTCATTTAGATTCCCTAGATAGATCAATAATTAATAGATTTACTAAAAACCAGACATGGCTTCATCAGAGTCCCATCCAAAGCAGGCACTCTGCTTCCCAGCAACCCCACTCAACTTTCCAAAAAATGCATCACTCCTCTGAAAACATCTGAGATTCCTGCTGCATTTTTTTCTTTCTCTTCCTTTGTTTTAATGTCATGTAATGGCAAAAAGGATTTCGGGTAGGCCCTGTTTCTTTCAGGTCACGTGCTAGAATTCTAGAAAGGGAAATGTGAATGTCTGGGAAGCTCACACAGGACATGAGACGTGTCAGCAGCCAGCACTTCCTCCTGTCCTTGGGCAGGTCGTCCTCATTTCCCGCGACAGCTGTTTCCAACCCTGCTCACGCCTTCCACACCACCCCCACTTCTCACCTCAACTTTGAACAGGATCTCCTGTTTCAGAAATCCTTATTTTTATTTGCAATGCCCTCAAAAGATTCAGAACTCCAATGATCACTCTGCCTAATCACCTCCTCCTGGACTCCCTTCCCCAACATAGGACACATATCTGTACCCTGGCCTGGCCTTGAGGCTTTCCTTCCACTGGGAGAAGGGGTATCCATCTCTCTGTCCCTGTTCTGTCAATGGTCCCCTGTCTCTCCTGGCTCACCATTTCCACTGTCTTTCTCCTGATTATATAAAATAACCTGAAAATACTTCACCCTCCATTCTCATTTCAGCCTCTGCACTTGGGCATCCATCCCCACTGCCCCACCAAGACAGCTCCTGCTGAGGGCACTAGCGACCTCCCTGTTGTTAAATCCAACCCCATGTTCAACTTTTTCTTTTTTTTTAAGGTTTACTGAAGCATAATTGACCTACAACACTATGTTAGTTCCAGGTGCACAACACGGTGATTTCAATATTTCTATGCTTTACAAAATGAGCACAATAAGTCTAGTTACCATCTGCACCATACCAGGATACTACAGCATTATTGAGTCTATGCCCCCATGCTGTGCCTTTCATCCTTGTGACTGACTCACTTATTTTGTAACTGGAAGTTTTTACCTCAATCTCCCTTACCTATTTCACTCCCCCCCCCCACCATCAACCACCTGTTTGTTCTCTGTTTCTATGTCTGTTTCTGTTTTGTGTTTGGTCACTTGATGTTTTATAGATTCCACATATAAGTGAAATCATACAGCATTTGTTTTTCTCTGTCTGACTTATTTAACTTAGCACAATACCCTCTAGGTCTATCCATGTTGTCACAAATGGCAAGATTTAATTAATTTTTATGGCTGAGTACTATTCCATTGTGTGTGTGTGTGTGTGTGTGTGTGTGTGTGTGTGTGTGTATACATCTTTATCCATTCATCTATCAATGGACACTTAGGTTGCTTCCATATCTTGGCTATTGTAAATAATGCTGCAATGAACACAGGGGTACATATATCTTTTCAAATTAGTGTTTCTATTTTCTTCAGGAAAATACCCAGAAGTGGAATCACTGGATCATATGGTGGTTCTATTTTCCCATGTTCTACTTCTTACTTTAATAACTTCTTGGAACCATTTGGCATTATCCATCATTTCCTTCTTTAAATTCAAAAAAAAATACTCTCTACTCTTTTGGCTTCCATGATGCCATCCCTTGCTACTTTTCCTCCTACCTCTGAGGTCTTTCCCTCCCAGCTCCTCTGCACGCTCATCCTAGGATGCTGGTACCCCACCCTACCCCCCAGATTCCCAAGTTGTTTTCTTCTTTCTTCACACTCAAGGTACTTATCCTGGGGATGACATCTACTTTATAGGTTTAACTACTACTTAGACATTGACAAATCCCAAATCTAAATGCTCATTCTAGACTTCTCCTCGGAGTTTCGACGAGAACGTCCAACAGTCAGACAGCTCCATGTAAACTTCCCACAGGCACCTCAAAGTTAACATGCCCCCAACTCAACTCCACCATCACTGCCTCCAGCCCTGCCCTCCCTCATGTGTTCCCTGTCTCAGTGGGTAGTGTCGCCATCCTCCCAGTTGGATCTCGTCACTACAGCCAATAAATCACTCCTCGATACCTCTTAAGTTGGTTTCCTTCTTTATTCCCACTACAGCCAGTACCTTATTTCCAGTCCTCATAATTTCTCATTGGGATCCCTTCAATGACCAATTGGTTCATGGCTTCAGCTTTCCTTCTTATACTTTACCTCTTTCTCCAATTTTTCCACAATAGGTATTTATCAATAATACATTCGCTAATAATAAAATACTGATTTTATAACATAAAGTAATTTCATAAAATTTAATGTTTTTCATTTTTTAATTAAATTTAAAATTTTAAATAATAAAACACTGTTTTTAAATAATGTCCATGAGACGTTCCTGCCCAATAGTTCATGGTTGTCCAATTCTGTGAGCAGGTTGGGACCAGCTTGCGAAACTGGACACTCTATCCAGGCCCCCAGGGTATGTCCCCACCTCCCCATATTACATGCCATAACCTGTGTCACTTAGCACACTCAGTTGAGCAGAAATCAATTCACAGGCAGGACAGCAGGAAACAGGAAGAAACTCAAGACTCAGAAGTCAAGGTAACCCTACTTCTGCTCACAAGCTACATGACATGATCAGATTACTTAGTCTCTGAGCCCGTTTCCTCGTGGGGGCCATGGGCATAATATAACATCTATCACAGGCCGACAAAGGATCAATAAGATGTGATAGTGCTTTAGCAGGGTTCCTTCCAAGAGTAAGCTCTGAACCACAGACGGTGACAGAAGAATCTCTATGACTTATTTCAGGGCCTAACTCTGAAAACTTTTCTTCCCTTCTACTCTAATGTATTTTTTCCTTAAATTTCTTCTGCACTTTCATAGGCTCATCTTGTCTCCCCAGCTTGTTCACTATCTTAAAAGATGGAGCCATGCCTTCCTTCTTCTGGTTCCCTCTACAGAGTCCCTTGAATGGCCTCTGCACAGAGACTGCTTAACAAATGCTCGGAGTAACTAATAAGGGCTTAGCGAGGGCTTGGGCTCAGTCCTCTGGCCAGGCCTGGAACGCGCTCTCAAGGCTACGAAAAGATTCTTTAAGAGGAGGGACATCGGGGTGCAGGTGCGGGGGGAGGAGGCCAGGACCAGCACCTTACCTTTGCACTGCAAACCCTGCCGCAAGAGGCCCCAGAGCAAGGAGCCGCAGTGGTCGCAGAAGGTGGGAACCTTGTAGTTGTGGATCCCGAACTTGTGGGGCATGTTGACACTGAACCGCTGGGAGCCCACCTGCAGGGACGGCAAAACACAGGGTCACCGCTAAGCTCCTTGCTCTGAAAGCTGCCCTGGGAAAGAGGTGAAGAGAACCTCCCTGCTGGGACCCTTATCCCACTCTCTCTGCTGCCCTGCTGGACTCTGCTCCCCCACCAGTCCCCTCCGGGACTCCAGACCTCCAACTCCCATGGCACACAGCACTCAACCTGTACCTCACATTTTGACCTTAAAGAACTGTCATTATGTGCTTTTAATGCTGCTTGAGCACCAAAGCCTAGCTAGGCAGAGTCTTTCTGCAGCCTGATGGTGGATGTGGGATTCTGTGAACACCCAAGAACCCAGCACAGCCGTGGAAGCTGTAGGTCATCAGTCAGGACAAACAACCATCACGATGGAGATGGCTAACACGGAGTGGTGACCACTAAGGGCGCTAAGGCGTCGGTGCTGACCACAGGCCAGGCACCACCAGCTCAGTTAAACCTCACCACCACCCTACGGGGTGGGCACGAGTTCACAGATGAGGAAATTAAGGAACAGGGAGATTAAGAAATGTGCCTGCAGGCGGGTGCGTGGCAGAGCCAGGATTTGAGGCTGTGGGAATGAATTCAGGGCCCAGGCTTTTTAACCACTATGCTGCCACTTATTATTTAAAAGGAGTAAAGAGAAGGTGGCAAGACGGAAGGGCAGAGGATGGGGGAGAGGAGTCCAGGCATCTGATCTGCAGGCCTGGGTCTGCCACCAGCCCCCTGTGAGGTTCTCAGGCAGGTTTCCTGACTTCTCGGGGCTTTGGATTCCTTATCCAGCAAAGAAGGATGGCATCCCCAACCCACCTAATATGACAAGATTGTGGGGTCAATGACACGCTGGGGGTGGAAGAGGTGGGAAACATTAACTGAAGCAAGACGTCAGCAGGGGTCTCCCTCTGCCCTCTAAGAGACACTCTCCACCTATTGATACATCTCTAGCCACATGAACAAAATCTGCCCCTCTCAGGACAGCAGGGCACCATCACCTGAGAGCCCCTGGGCTCGAGAGAGCATCACTCTTGCTACTCCAGGCATTAGGGACGGCACACAGCAGAGGAGCTGTCCTTGGCTCACTGCTGCCCGGTGAGTGAAAAGCCCTCATGGGGGTCGTGAGAGCTGGGCACAGACATGAATGTGAACACAAACACCGAGGTATGTGCACACACACCCTCAGGGTCACTCAGCTTCATATCAACCTCTTTATCACCCGGCAACAAGGAATGGCTGATCCTGCCGCTGCACCAGCATTTTACTGAGCCCTGCTTGAGGTGCATCGGCTGTCTACTGTGCACTTACCCCAGTACCAGCATCCCAGTATTTACTGAAAACAATCGTGCCCACCCCTCCGTACATTTGTAGCATAGGTGTGCCTATTTGTGAATATAAATAAACCTGTAGAGGTTCACAGTTCATAAGATTTACGAGATTTTTTTTTTTTAACTTACTGAGACTTATGAGATCCTTGAAAGCGGGAATCATGTATTCCTCTTTATTTCACTGGGACATGGAACAATTATCTGACATACAGGAAGTGCTCAATAAACGCTCAACAAAATGTCCATAAGAAGGAAGACAGACAGACAGCAAGCTAATCATCTTTTTCTTTCATTTACTTAAACTAATGAGGGTAACAACGTACTTCGGGTTATGATCCTAGACCAGGAGCCAGGAGACCCGGGTGACAGTGACTTGCAATTTCTACCCTGTCAGTAGAACCTCTGTAAATAATTTTGGTGCTTTGTACTGTCTGCCCTCCAGGGACATGGGACACTCAATCTAAGCCTTGTCCCTTCCTGATTTCCAGAGATGGCGTGAAATCAAAAGGAGATAAAAGATGGAAAATGCTTTGGATGTTGAGATGTCACTTGGTTGAATTCTTTTTAAGAAGCAGGTAGAAGATCTCTATAGGTGACTCCTTTTAGAAGCCAAAGTATAAACCCATTTGATTATAAACCCAGCTGATTATAAATCCACCCAAGGCCTCTCTGACTCCCAAATCTAATGGCCTGATTCTACAGTATTTATTTATTTCACCGAGAATTAAAATCATGTATTTGAAATCAATTGTCATGAACACAGATAACTTCTCTACTTAGATTCACACCTGTCATCTTCCCCAAAAGGTTTTTTTTTATTTTTTTTTTTTATTTTTTTTTTGCGGTACGCGGGCCTCTCACTGTTGTGGCCTCTCCCGTTGCGGAGCACAGGCTCCGGACGCGCAGGCCCAGCGGCCATGGCTCACGGGCCCAGCCGCTCCGCGGCACGTGGGATCTTCCCAGACCGGGGCACGAGCCCGTGTCCCCCGCATCGGCAGGCGGACTCTCAACCACTGCGCCACCAGGGAAGCCCCCCAAAAGGTTTTTACATCTGTTAGTAGAACCACTCTTCTCCTAATCACTCAGTTAGGAGAAACCTGGCTTCAAGTCGAATCTTCTCTCTTCCTTACCCCTAACAACTTCTCTAACAGTCAATCTAACACTAGTTTCTAAGATTAAGAGAACACAGTGGTCAAGGGCTCAGACTCCGGAACTGACTAGCTGGATTTGAACGTGGCTTTTTCATATACTGGGCTGTGAGGTTTGGGGCAAGTTAATTTGACCTCTCTATGCTCCTATTCTCTCTGTTGCAAAGTGAAGGTAATAACAACATGGATTTCGTTAAGGTTGTTAAGGCTTTAAAAAGCATACGATAAAGTGCTTAAATCAGTGCACAGCAAGTACTCAACGAATGTCAGCTATTATTGTTATTACTGCGGTTCTTTCAGGCTCCTAAGTGTTTCTTAGATTTGCTAATCCCACTCCATTTCCCCATCACCACATAAAGATAAGGTTCCCGCTTGCATGTTGTGTCTCTTACTATTTATGAACTGTGTGGCTCCCTTGACATGCCAGTGAGCCCCTTCACTGTTCCGATGAGATAATGACATAAAATAACTCACATTTTCCTTGTGGTCTTTCATTTGGGGATCACACAGCTCTTGGCATCCTGTTCACACACCTAAACCCGACTCTGAGCCACACTCCTTCCGTAGGCTGTGCCTCATATTGGAAGACTGTGGACAACTCCCTTCATTTTTGATCAACACAATAAAGACAGCAGCGGGACCTCAAAGAGATAAGGTTTCTCTTGGGGACCACACAGGAGGCAGTGGAAGGTGGGGATGGCGGTGAAGAAAGCCCAGAATTTCAATGCTATAAATATTTACCTCGTCAGGAGTTTCCTGTTTCTTTAATCCAGCGCACTTCGTAATTATGAGCTCATGGCACCGCTTGTGGACCACGCAAGTGCAAACTGCAAAGAGCAAAACACGAGAGGACTGAGCGACAAGTAGGGGCAGAAAGGTTCCAACCTGAGATTCGATTAGGTCTCTGCAGAGGAGGGGGGCGGGGAGCCGCGCCCTTCTGTCTCTGTAGCCAAGTCTTAATGTAACGCCCTACCTGAAGCCCTTTATGCAGTCATTTCAAAGCACTCTGCCATCAGAGCCATTAGGGTTTCCTAAGTGCTCTGGAGAAGAATGGACCATTTATATCCAAAGGGCATCAGCAGTTTCCTCTAGTTTCAGGAGTATCAATCCATTTTCTTGCTTCTCTATGCCAAGGTCAGGGAACAATGGCTAACCATGAAGCACTGTCTACCCAGGGAACTGCCGCTCTGAATGTGCTCCATTCAGGGTCCCACCAGGGTTGGCTGGGGTGACAGGCAGGCCAGCCGGCCGGCAGCGGGCAAATGGATGTTTTGTGGCACAGAAGTGCTCTAGCTTCTTGATCTGCTTGTGCCCTTCTGTGACAAACAAAAATTTCATTTAATGTAATACTTCCCCAAGAAGTGGCCTATAGCTCCGTCTTTAGTGTCATGGGCCATTTTGGGCAGCTGGTAGCTGCAAGTAACCTAAGAAGTGTCACGTGTGTAACTGCGTACATGCTACCCCCGAGACACAGTCATGTCCCACAGAAGCTACCCCAGTCCCCCAGGGGTGAGACCCAAGTCAACCAGTGGCTGGGCGAGGAGACGGGATGGTCTCCCAGCTCCAACCACAGAGAAACCTCAACATGACCTCATCACATACCCACCATCCAGTTCTGGACAACTTAACCTCGCATCTGTAGTCAGTTAACTGGGGAAAAAAACAAACCCTCCCATACTTTCAAGTGACCGTTAAATGTTTAGGAGCTAATGACGGCACTGAAGAGACAAAAAAGAGAACCAGCAAGGACCATTAGTGATACTGAATAAAACAAGCTGGCGAGGGAGCTTCTTCAGGGAGTGGGAGAGTGAGGGAGCTGACAGAACACACAGAACCTGGCTCACGACACAGGCGGCCTCTAATGGGCATCTTACGGAAGTTTTACATTTCATGGGGAAAGAAGAAGGTGCACCAGAGAGGCTACAAAACAAGGCTGAGATCCCTGGGACACCTGCAGATGGTGGTCCTGCACATCTGCTCCCACACAATTACGGGGGAGAGATGGCCAGGCAGGGACAAAGGAAAATCAGGGCCTTGCTTTGTGGGGAGGGAGCGTAAGCGTGCACAGCATACAGAGCTCTGGATGTCACCCAACCCAGCACCCGCCTCCCACGAGCAGGGGTGATCTGGATCGACCTGGGGGCCCCAAGGATTTACTTCATACAATACCCTCTTACCTTGACATTGGTATCCCTGCTTTCCTATGACACCCCTGAAAAGAAGAATACGGCCCTTTAAGAAGATGAATTTCAGTAGGTCAAAAGCCACACAAAGCCAGCCCATTCCCATCGTTCCAGTCGCTGCCCACAGGGCACCAAGCACACTGGAGTCCGCCCAGCAGTGGGGTAGTGACCTCACTCCCAGTTGCAGGGTGCCTTACAATGACTCTCTCTGAAGGCCGCTGGGTGCAAGGTTTGGCCAGTGTCAGGGCTCAGTCTCCTATACAAACAACCATTCCAGGGGCCCAGCTGTGCTCTGGAGAGCCACAAAGACTCTGCTTGCTTTCCACAGGCCTCGAGGTGTCGAGCGTGCCCTTCTTCATGGATAAACGTGGAGGAAGGCTGTCGCTGGCAGGCATAGTCCCTGAGCACTGCAGAAGCAGCCAAGGGCTATGGGGCAGTCTGTGGCCAGGACTGGGGGCCCAATCTACCACCTGAAGGTCAACGTCAGAGAGTCCTTCCATGGCCAGAGTAGGGTACCCCTAGGGCAGGTTTAGGGTCAGCCTGGACACAGAACAACCCAACCCACCTGGCCTGAGCCCTGTCCTCGGGGCACCATCACCAAGTGGTCAGCTCCCTGCAGTGAAAGCCCAGCCCAGTGAAAGGAGCCAGAAGTCATTAGGGTTGCAGCTAAGGAAGCCTAGAGTTGAGTGGTGCTGGCCATGGGTTAGAGAAGACCTGAGTCTCTAAGACTAAGCTTTCAGAACCTGTTCCCCCTATTCTTGACCAAAATACAGAGATGGAGGTCAGATGGTTGGAAGCCCCAGGAATGAGACACGTCTGAGGGTGGAGTGGGGCATTCTTTCTGCTTCAGTCAGGTTGACTTTGCTCTAAGCTGTGTCACCTCAGATGTCCACGCCAACCTCTATGATTAGTTCTAGAACACCATGAGGATGAGATGAGGCTTTCCTGGATACCATGGGAATCCAGGGGGTCCTCAGTGTAATTCGAATGTCCCTCTTCTGGGTTCATGTTGCAGTGTGGCCTTGTTCACTTTCCCCTGCAGGATCCCAGTGTGTTGGCAAACTCCACATCAGTTTCAGAGAGGATGCCAGGAAGACTGAGCATGAGCTATTCGTTGTGCTCACCAGGGGTGGAATCAGGCCTCTGACACTTCCTGGCTGGAGGGTCGTAGAGTGGTCTCGTTTCTGAGCCTCAGTACTGTTGTTAGTGGAATGGGGTTCATAATACATAGCTCATAGGATGCTGGGAAGAGTTAATTAGAGATTTCCAGAGCCAAAGCGAGACCCTGGCACATAGTAGGTATTCATCAAAAGTTCCCTGCTTATCCCCAAGGCCAGTGTTCCTTACGTTTCTCCACCTCCCCAAAAGGCCTACTACTTACCTATCTCTGCCTATCAAAATCCTAGTCATCATGAAAGGAGAAATGCCACCTCCTCCAGGAAGCCTTCCCTGAGCACTCCAGCCAACGCTCCTCTCTCCCTCCTCTGAAATCTTAGCATCCTATCAGCACCAGTGTTATGACAGTTACTAAGAACTGCTTTGTATTATAAATATTGGCAATCAAATACTTTAAGCTTATTATGGAAAAATTCAAATGTATATTAAAAGAGAGAGATGAATATAGTGGACCCTCATGTACCCATCACCCAGATCCAACAACGATCAATACATGGCCAGCCTTGTTTCATCTCTACCCCGGCCCCTCGCCCCTCCTGCCAGCTTATTTTTTTCCTAAACAAATCTGAGACATCCTATCATTTCATTTGTAAATAATTCAGCTTGTCTCTCTAAAAGATAAGGATTTTTTAAAAAAAACAAACCACAATACCATTATTGGTTATAAAATCCTAACGCCTTAAATATGATGTATGATATGATCCTAAGTATAGAGGCACCAGGAACCATAGTTTCTTCTTTCTATCTATCCCCCCCCAAGCACCACTCAGCCTTCCAGAAAAGTCTTCTGTAGTCAGAAAAAGAAATAAAGCACATCAGCATTTTTTACGTAAAGTTTCTAATCTCCTGACCCATTCCCCCCGCCTCTCATTGCCAAGAAAGCATAACTAGAGGTTTCCAGGAAAGAGGGCCTTACCAGATAAAATCCCTGCAGTGGGAACAGTAGGTGGGCTGCCGAAGGTAGGTAGCCATGAACTTGTGGCCGTTGACCTGGTGGACCCTGCGCCTGACAGCCCCCTGCCGCTTCCTGGGCCGCATGCGCTCCCGGAACACGCGTTCTTCATTGTCTTTGGGGGCTGGGGAAGGATAAGAGCACAGGAGAAAACACAGTCTGGATTAGCGTCCTTTGAAATAACCTCCTGCAGGAGAGCTACTCCAGCCTCGGGGATATGGAGGTAGAAGGGGGCGTGGGCGCAGCCTCCACTGGTAGAGGGACTCAGGGGTCTGAGGAGCCTCACCGCTCAGCTCCAGCGAGCAAGCACCACGTGATGGGAAGGCTCAGACTGTGCCCTTTGCTATGACAGCTGCACTTAGCATCCATCCCAACCCCAGTCCTGCTCCAGGTCTGGCCGCTCCACTCCTCCCCACACCAGCTACATGTTGCAAGGGTGCAGGGTCAGAAGGCTCAGCGTTCAAATCTCCCTGACACTTCTGAGTAACGTGACCTTGGACTGCTGGCGTTCCTGGCCCAGAGCCTCGGCGGGCATTGTCCTCTGTCAATGGGGATAATGCAAAGGGGCGTGGCCTGGAGTCAGTGGTGTGACTTCCCTCCACCCCCAGCTGCCTAATAAACCTGATTTTTCTTCCTTCTCCCTCTTACCTAGACTAGGACAATAAAGAGCCTTTCCCCAAAGGTTAAAAGGAGAGGGAAATAAAACACTGTGAAAGCAGACAGTTTCCAGAAGGCTCAAGAACCACCACCATGGGCTTGAAGACCCTACTGGAGACAAAAAGAGTTTCCTCATTTCTTCCTTCCCTCCCCTTGGAAGCCTGTCCCAAACCTAAGGACACCCTGCAAAGGGACAACAAAAATAATAATAAAGATTGTTATGGACCGAATGTTTGTGCCACCCCTGCCCTCCCCTCCCCATTCATATGTTAAAGCCCTGAACCCCAGTGCGATAGCATTTGCAGGGGGTGCCTTTGGGGGTCAATTAGGTTTAGATGCAGGCATGAGGGTGGGGCCCCCATGATGGGATTAATACTATTATAAGAAAAGGAAAAGTGGGACTTCCCTGGTGGTCTGGTGGGTAATACTGCATGCTCCCAATGCAGGGGTCCCCGTTCGATCCCTGGTCAGGGAACTAGATCCTGCATGTATGCCACAACTAAGAGTCCGCATGCCGCAACTAAGAGTCCACATGCCTCAACTAAGACCCGGCGCAGCCAAAATAAATAATAAATAAATAAATAAACAAATAAATATTTAAAAAGGAAAAGACCTGAGCTGGCTCACTCTGTGCCATGTGAGGACACAGTGAGAAGGTGGCTGTCAACCAGCCAGGAAGAGAGTCCTCACCAGAACCCAACCATGCTGGCATCTTGATCTCGGACGTCCCGCCTCCAGAACTGTGAGAAATAAGTATCTGGTATCTAAGCCTCCCAGTCTATGGTATTTTGTTGCGGCAGTCTGAGGAGACTAAGACAGTGATGATAATGGCTAATGTTTGTCGAGGGCTTACACTCTGGCAGGTACTATGCTAAATGCATGACATGTGTCATCACAACAACCCCACCTGAGGGGTACTGCTATTACCCCTCTTTTGCAGGTGTGCAAGCTGAGGAATGAAGAGTTCAAGTAGCCTGTTTCTGTTAATACAGCTGTCTAGTGGTGAGCCCAGATTCTAACCCAGAGAGGGAGACGTCAAGGTTTCACCGGCCACATGCTGCTCTGAGGGACAGCCCACTCTCCCTACAGTAAGTCCCCAGAGCGCTCACGGGGTGGCTCTCGTTAAGGAAGAGCTGAGCTGCCTGTGGCTTTCCCGAGGGCAGGGGATACAGGCTATGGGTCTCCTACCAAGCTCCTGTCACTCTCAAGTATGCCCTGGAAGGTCACCTGCATGGCACAACTGAAAATGCACGAGGAAGGTTCCGTGCCCCCCAAATCCTCCCTGCACCAGCCAGTGCCCGACACTCCAGCATAACAGTGTCAGTCCTCAGGGGAACAAGCTTTGCTCCTCCTGGCCTCTTTGACAATAAGGTTCCCTGCAGCGGAGGTCATGTGTGTGAGCCAAACATCTGTTTAATCCAAGGGCATCTTGTCAATCCAGAGAGGGTAGGGGTGGAGGGAAAATCAAACTGAAGGAGGAAAAAGGCAAGAACGACGGGGAACAAATGCCTAGCGTGTGCTTTTAGAGGGAAGCAGCCTGCAAGCAAACAGGCAGGGCCGTTGGCTGGAGGCTGCCCTCTGCGCTCCCAGGCTGCATCGTCAGCACTGCCCCTGATGACCCAGACAGGGGTCTGCCTGTGGACCTCCTGCTTCATAGCCCCCACCCTGCCTGGGTTTCCTTTTTAACCGGTGCTTATTGTTTCAAACAGTCTCTGACACCGACTACCTCTGGGTATAGAAAGCCCACTACCTCCTACCTGGCCACAACCTAGGGGGTGAGACCCAGCCGAGCAAATTCTCACAGGAAGATCCCAGTTCTAACTAGAGACATCTACACACACACACACACACACGCGCGCAAAAATGTGACAATCATCACTGAACTGTACAATTAGAGGTGACTTTCATTTCTGCTTCACACTTTTCGGTATATTTAGACTATTCTATTTTTATAAGCTGGAAAAAATGTGGTATTTAAAAAAAAAACAAATCTTTTCAATAGCCCTTACTTGCTACAAACCTGATCTACAAAAATCCAAACCCCAAAACTCAGCCCTGGGCAGCTCAGGCCAGGGGATGTGGATTCTCTTTGTACAAGGCACCCTTCAAATTCTTTCAAAGAAGGATTCACCACGGAATATATGTCAACAGTAAGCCCTAATGTGTTTAAGATGCAATTTGATTTATGAATCTCTCAGATTTGCGAGTCATTTTGATCCTCGAAATTGTGTTTTCAGTTAAAACGGTGATGAGTTCAATCTAGTCTTCTCAAGGGAGCACTGCTATAACGGGGGCTATAGAGCTCCCTGACGGCCTTATTTCTCAACCTTTTAGAGAAATGACCACAGCAACCAAACTGAACATTCTAAACTGTGTTTACACTGATTTAATAGATAAATGCAGCAACCAATTAATTTAATTCCATTTACTTTTGAAGACCTCTTGGTGGGGTGCACTGACACCGGAGGAGAAGCTGCTTCAAGCCTGCAGAGGGTGGGGGCTGAGGGATGGGAGGGTCTTGGGCGCAGGGTAGATAGAGAGCCAAGGACAGCTCCTGCTAAGGTGGGGTCTCTCTGATCTAACTTCCCCAAAGGGTTCCGTTACCCTGCCCCAAAGCATATGAGCCCTGCCTTTTGAAAGTCAGATTCTGCATCCAAGATGTGGGGAGACAAAAGGCTACAGGAGAGGAAGAACACAGGTAAACTTCATGCTCCAAGGAGGCCTGCACACAAAGCTTCAGGAGAAAGGGGGTGGGGCCCCTGGCTGATGAAAACGCCCCCATTCCACACACCTCTGCACAGGGGGGCCGTGAGGTTCCGCAGCCCCAGAGAACCTCCCTGCTGGGCCTGGAGTCACTGCTAGCAATGGATCCCTTCAGCATTTCCCACTGATGTGAAGGGTCGCTATTAAAATGCAGCTTCCACGGGGAAGGGAGTAACGCACTGTGTGTGTGCGCAGGCACACTCACGCATGGGTAGGGAAGAGTGCACGGTGCGGGGGTAAAAGATTTATAAATACATATATATATGTGTGTGTATAATACCAATTAACATATATATCAAATACATCATGCATAATTTATATACTATATACTTACATATAATATAGCATAATATATTAATATATGTATGCCATTAACATAATATCATTATGATATATTATATTATGACATGATTATAATTATATTAATTACAATATATTATTGCATAATATGAAATACATGACAGATGCATAGTTTTGCCAAACCATTTGAAGCAACACTTCACCCCTAAATACATCAGCCTTTATCTCCTAAGAACAAAGACATTCTCCTACATAATCACAGTATCAAAGTCAAGAAATTTAACATTGACATAACTATCCAATATACAGTTCATATTCAAATCTCCCTGATTGTCCCCAAAATGTCCTTTATCGTTGCTGTTGTTTTCAAAAGTTTAATCCAAGAGCTAATTAGAGTTCATGCATGGCATTTGTTGCCATGTCTCTTTAATCTCCTAATCTAGAACAATTTTCTTGACATTTTTCTTTTATGATACATTTATGAAAAATATAGGATATTGTCTTATGGAACATTCTACAACTTGGATTTGTTTGTTCCCTTTTGATTAGTTTCCAATTCAATGGCAAGCATACCATAGAGATCTACGCATCAACAAATCCAAATACATTCATCAAGGGGCTTCCCTGGTGGCACAGTGATTAAGAATCCGCCTGCCAACGCGGGGGACACGGGTTTGATTCCTGGTCTGGGAAGGTCCCACATGCTGCGGAGCAACTAAGCCCATGCACCACAACTACTGAGCCTGCGCTTGAGAGCCTGCGAGCCACAACTACTGAAGCCCACGTGCCTAGAGCCCGTGCTCCACAATAAGAGAAGCCACCGCAAGAAGCCTGTGCACAGCAACGAAGAGTAGCCCCCGCTCACCATAACTAGAGAAAGCCTGCGTGCAGCAACAAAGACCCCACGCAGCCAAAAATAAATAAATAGAAAAAAAAAGTATTAAAAAACACAAGAAAACAAATATATTCATCAAGATCTTTATCTATAGATAAATGTGTAAATGACATGAACATAAAATTTATAGGAGAAATATAAAATATTCACTCTTACTAGGAATTCTTAAAATGCAAAGCAGAGCAGTCTTGACATACCACTGACATACCGTTTAATGCCTAATAAAGAAACAAATTTGTTTTAAAATGGTATTATCAGCTATTTGGAAGGCTGCTGTGAAACTGATTTATTCATTCACTGCTAGAGGCAATGTCACATAATATTTTCAGAAGCAATATTACAGTACATAGCAAACGTCACAAACAGATTCATAACCTCTGATTAAGCTTTAATTCCTAAGGAATTGCCAAGTCAATAATTAAACAGAAACTAAAAGCTATACACTTATAACTTATCGATGTTCCCCATGGCATGTCTAATCGGCCATCAAATAGAAATAACTTGATTGT